CATCAAGCCTGCAAGGAGAGTCCCTTCCTCCAGCCTGCCTGCTGTCAGTCTTGCCTAGGTCACATAATCATGGAATGATATCCTGTCACGTTTGTTACAGCCTATTGATTAGAAGGAGGCCAATCTCAGTGGCTCATGCCTGTAATCCTAGTGCTTTGGGAGCCTGAGGCTAGAGGGCAACCTGAGCCCAGAAGTTTGAGGCTGCAGTGAGCTGTGGTTGTGCCACGGCGTGCCAGCCTGGGTAACAGAGCAAGATCCTGTCTGAAAAAAAAAAAAAAAAAATTCTGTGTCACACACAGAATTATATAAAGGCATAAATGCCAGGAAGGAGGCCACTGGGGTTCCCTTAAGGTCTTACTGCCACAAATACTGTTCGTTGTTTTCCTCGAAGCGAAAGGCTCATTCAGTTCGTTTTCAAGCCAATGTCTGTCAAATACCCAAGTCTGAGTAAACAGTTTGCCCGGCAGTTGTTCTTTCAAGTAAAAATTTTGTTTTATAAAAAACAGCTAGTTCAGATCAAAATTCAGTCTCACAAATGTTTTTTCTAGAGACAGCTATTGTACTTTGAAATGCAGCAAAATAACTTTACGTGTATTTCCCATTTGATAACAAATCATTTCTAAAGGGTGAAGATTTTTTTTAATGACTTTTATTCAAACAGGAAGATTGAACAGGGCAAGTGATCTGCATAGTGAGGGTCTCTATGGTTCTCAGATTCAATACTTTTTTGAGGCTGCTGTGCCTATTTGAGGATATGAGCTTTTTTGTAAATATCCGATTTCTGCATTCCAAAATGACAAATAACCAATTCTTAATATCTGTGAGGACAGGGCATGCAAGTGGATAATAAGATGAGCTTTTTTCTATTTGTAATTTGGTCTTATTTCTCAAATCCTCAGTAGTCATTTTAGTCCTCCTTCCAACTAATCCTTCTCTAGAGTAATACACCTGGCAGGATACTTTATTGAGACTGTAACTGTATAGTTTCTAGGTGTTCCCCATCTCAAGATTTTGTATGTTACCTTGCCTCAGGGTCTAGTGTGGCTGGGCCAATAATGGGAATTGCCTTCATTCTACAGATCTAGGCACCTTGATACTGTTATGCTAGATCAGTGTTTCTCAAAGTGTGGTCTGCAGGCTTTCAGGAATCCTTGAGATCCTATCAGGGAGGCTGTGATGTCAAGACTGATAACAGGATAACAATAAGACAATCTGTCTTTTTACTTCACTCATTTAGCACAGATGGCTCCATAAAAATGGGAGAAAGGAGTCAAATATCTGGCACTTTAGCAAGAACCAAGGCAGTAACACGAAACTGTACTAGTAAACAATGCAGGGCGTTATTTTATCTACATCTGATTTACAAGTCCTAAGGAGTAAGCAGTGCAGGAAGCATTCAAGTTATTGGTACAGGCAGGGCGCGGCGGCTCACACCTATAATCCCAGCAGTTTGGGAGCCTGAGGCTGGTGGATCAGTTAAGGTCAGGAGTTCAAGACCAGCCTGGCAAACATGGCAAAACCCCATCTCTACTAAAAATACAAAAATTAGCTGGGCATGGTGGCAGATGCATGTAATCCCAGCTATTCGAGAGGCTGAGACATAAGAATCACTTGAACCCAGAAGGCAGAGGCTGCAGTGAGCCGAGATCATGCCACTGTACTCCAGTGAGACTCTGCCTCAAAAAAAAAAAAAAAAAAAAAGATTTTCTGTATAATCCGCTTTGTTATCAGATGCTGTTCAGTTTCCACTGACTTCTGAAACATGGGATCCTGGTGGACATATCACCTTATGACGGTTGTGCATCTATCATTGCTGGGCAGCCACGCACTGATGATCGGAATCCTGCTGGGTGGTGGGAGCCGTTTTCACTAAGAACAGTAGCAAGATTCTGATGGTAACAGAGATAGTGATACTAGATCACAGAGCGCATGCTTCGGAGACAGAGAACCAAGGCCTAGCTCCCTGAGCCAGCCTCATGCCTGGGGCATCTGCACATAACCCAGACCTAAAGTTGCCAGTGCACTTATCTCCTTTAAATCATGATGTTAACTTGCACTACTTTTACCAGGTCAGCTCCAGGGTTTTGAACTCCACAAAAACAAATCAAGATCAGAAAATCCTGTTTAGAGGAATATACATAAATATCTGATAACAGGATCTACACCAGAGTTCCAATTGCTCAGCGTGGCCACACTGTTCTTCCACAATCCAGATCCCAAATATCTATTAATACATTTACACTTAAATATTTACATATGACTAGTGCCTACTTTATTGGACAGCTCAGTTCCACAGTCTCCAAACACAGGCCTTACATCAGTTCCAAATTTCTTACATTTCCCCGCCAGATGATTCCTCTGACCTTGGCCTAAGCACTGATTTCCATCACTGGGCAATGTGTTTCTTTTTCTGTATCTTAAATGGGGCATGCATTTCATTATATACCCTAGCCTGGGTTCCCCCAAAACTGAGCCTAAGACGATATCTTATGTGGAGCTAGTTTCTTTGAGAATGTAATCATAGAAAAGGGGAATATGAAATAAACAGGGTGAGGCTAGGCAAAAGGAAAAATCAATATATTACAAAGTGTATGTTACTAAGCAGGCAACCAGTAAGGGTAACTGAAACTTGATCCCCAGGATCTGAGCTGACAGAGAATTATGTCACAGAAGGGTTTCCCCTAGAAATGAAAGAGGAAAGCATTATCTACTAGCTCGTGTCCTCCACTGGTGAAGTGTGGCCGCCAGATGCTAACAGTGAACTTCAAGCTTGCATATCCACAAGTGCATTACAGATTCCTACAGACAGCTCCTGCTGGGTCATCAGAGGCCCTCAGATCAGGAGAGGAGAGGCAGAACTCTAGGCAATGTGTGTGAGTGGTCCACATAGCCAAGGTAGAAAACAAGAGCAAGGTCCGGCAGATTTGGAGAGTACCGAAGAGGCACCCAGTACCATCCACACACAAGTCCCAAGAAAGTTCCAGAACAGTGCAGTTGGATGACTTACAGTCTTCTGCCACCAGAGAAGGGAGCCAGTGGGAAAGACTAAGGTACCTGGGGAGGTGGGACTCGCCTTCAGAAGCCACTCAATGTACCTTCTCTAAAACCAAGGCCAGACTTATCAGCACACCCAACACTGCTCATGAAAAGACAAAGCTTCTCTGAAAGGCAGAAAGAGGCTTAACTTTCAGGTGCTGAGTGTGTTTGACTAAACAGGAATAACAGGGTTGGGGTAAAACGAGAACTTCAATAAGCTGATGGCAGAGAGGCTTTTGTTAGGGTGAATAAGGTATGAGTTAGAGAAGGGCAGGAGAGAGCCCGCCCAGGGAAGGGACACAGGAAATCAGAAAGGAATTTCCTCTAGAACCAAGGTGCAGAATCGAGGAGGAAAATGAGGGAGACTGGGATTCATGGAGGAGCAGCAGGCAGCTCCCTCTGGGGAGGAAAATTCCAGGTGGAGCAGCAGGGTCTGGCCGAAGCCCCCTGGGTCTGTGGCTCCTGAGAGGTGGATTTGCTGAGGAGAGAAACTTGGACCCAACCGTGAAAAAGAGCTAATGTGATGCCAGAGCCCAGAGTTTAGGCATGGCAGTGGCCCTGGCCCCATCCCAGAGGGAGGTGGCTGGTCAAACAAATACTAACAGAGAGGGAAGGAGATGGGTGTGGAAGGGAGGGGAAGCCTCTTCTCCTTCATGAATTCTCAGCTCACACCAGGAGGCCTGGCACAGGACAGTGAATTATGCCCAAGAAGCTGCCTTGTGGCTTCCTGCCTTTCTCCCTCCCTCCCTGTCTTTCCTCTTTTCTTTTCTTCTCTTTCTCTCCCTCCCTCCCTCCCTCCCTCTCTCCCTCTCTCTCTCTCTTTCTTTCTTTCTTTCTTTCTTTCTTTCTTTCTTTCTTTCTTTCTTTCTTTCTTTCTTCTTCCTTCCTTCCTTCCTTCTTTCCTTCCTTCCTTCCTTCCTTTCCTTTCTTCTTTATCTATCTCTGTTTCTTTCTCACTTCCTTTCTCCCTTCCATGAACCTACAGCTCTATTCAGGAGAACAATGACTGCCCATTGACTTAACACCCACGATAACCAGGCACTGTGTGAAGCTGAAGTAGAACAAGGGGCTTTGGGAACCTGGTAGAAGGAGCTGATGGTGGAGGCACTGTCTGGGCATCAGGTTCAGGGGAGTAACACAGTGGTGGAGCACTGGGAAAGAAGGAGCTATTCACATGTCTGAGATGTAAGGATGTCTAGATTTCCCAAGGGCCGCACCTAGTAAGAGAGTGTGTATTGAGGGTAACTCTGAGTTAGTTCATCCTGTAGTGATCAGAGGAAATGGCTGGTGTATGAACCCAGGGAATTAGCACTCTCCTGTTCCTATGTCACCCCTGGAGAAGAAAGATACCACTGGAGGCAGGGTCTTCAGGGCTGAGCCACAATGTCACACAGATCCAGTCAATCCTGCCTGTTCATCTCAATGACATCTGCTATCCCTGATCAACATGGCACCTTCACAGTGAAAGCAACTTATTTCCAGGGCAGGCATTTTGTCTTCCATTGCCCCTCCCAGGTACGAATCCACTAAGAGATTGAAAATCAGATGAGTCACTTGTTCTGCACCATCCCCACGGCCTCCCAGAAAAACCAGAAATGCCTATCGTTATTTCCGTGTCCACTTCAACCATGAAGAAGTCCAATAGGACTAATCTGGCTAAAGATTAGGCCCCAGGCCAAGAGGCATGGCTGTTTCTGGTCCTAGCAGTATGGAACTTCCTCCTAATTTAATACATTGCCATTCAAGAAGCCCACTGCCCACAGCAACCACACCACAAAGGGTGGACAGTGAGTCAGGCCCAGGTGACATCACTGTCAGAGCTTAAGTGACAAAAATGTTAAGCCAGAGATATTTATCACAAAAGTTGGAATGAAGGTAGAGCAGTCTTTTAAAAAAATCCAATTTTCTTAAGGCAGGGCTCATTTTCTATATAAATATCAGCTAACAAGAGACTCTTCACCAGATCCCAGAGGCTGAACAACTCAACCTTCTCTGCACAGTGGGTGAGTCTCCCCATTGGGAACATCTTAATATTCTCCTATCGATTCTTTGTTTTGATGGAGACCTCTTTGCTATGCAATAAATATATTTATTTTAAAGGCAATAATAACTTTTGTTTAAGGTGACCTTATACATATTTTGACTTTCCACTCAGATCACAGCTGTGGAACTTGGGATCAGAAAAGGGGAGTGATTTCTGTAAAGGCTCGTTAAGTTAGCAAGACAATCTACCCACTTCAAGAGTACTCTCCTGTCAACATGTATTGGAAATTTTTAATTTAGAGGGCATTACATTGGCAATTTTGATGATCAAAAGATAAGTTTTTCTTTATTCCACGGATGTATAATCCATCAGAAAACATATACTTGACTAAAATTTGCAAACATGGGGAGTGATTAGTAGAGAGGGAAAGCAGGTACCATGCTGTGGCAAAACAAGGAAGGGCCATGAGAGATGGGCATGTGTGGGGAGGCAGCAATGATGTGGAGAGCCTGCCAGAGAGCATGTGCAGTGGACACAGGGTGAACGGAGGTTCCCAGGTGGATTGTTGGAGCCTAAGGGGGAAGTTTAGATAAGAGTTTTCCTGGGAGAACTATGGTACTCTATGAGGAGGACATGAGTGAGTAGATTCTAGACTGCTGACGTTACAATCTTTCCAAATCATTGAAAAACTGAGGTGTCACATCAATCTTCAGCCGATGACACACAGCCAAGAGTGGTATTAAAAGTGATTTAATCAGGGCAGAGCAAGAAACATGAATTTCTTTTCACTCGATTCCTCAGATGAACCCTGAGCAGCTGAAGACCAGAAAAGCCACTAAGACTTTCTGCTTAATTCAGGGGCTTAGAGGATTCTTCAAAGAGTGTGTAAGCGAAAGCTTCAGAGTATATATTTGCATATTTGTATGTGTTTTCATGTTGTACGTAGGTTTTGAGATGTAACAGGAAGAAAAGAAGCATAGAGAAAGGCTCCACTTAAAGGATGTGGAAGAAGTCAACTTTACCTTATTCCCTGGAAGATATGTAGGGATCATCAAAGCATCCCATGATCTCAAATTCAGGGAAAAAGAAAGAAAAGAGGCTCTCAGTTCTGAAGGAGAATGAAATGAGAGATATTTGTCATTAAACTGGGCTTCATTCCTATTTAATCAAAGCACTGAATCAGCTGTTTTGTCTCTAGGTCCAGCATCCTTTGAAGCATGAGTTCTTACCAGGAGAAGCAGACCTTTACCCCACCACCTCAGCTTCAACAGCAGCAGGTGAAACAACCCAGCCAGCCTCCACCTCAGGAACCATTTGTTCCCATAACCAAGGAGCCATGCCACCCAAAGGTTCCACAACCTGGAAACACAAAGATTCCAGAGCCAGATTGCACCAAGGTCCCTAAGCCAGGCTACACCAAGGACCCTGAGCCAGGCAGCACCAAGGTCCCTGACAAAGGCTGCACCAAGGTCCCTGAGCCAGGTAGCACCAAGGTCCCTGACAAAGGCTGCACCAAGGTCCCTGAGCCAGGCAGCACCAAGGTCCCTGAGCCAGGCAGCACCAAGGTCCCTGACAAAGGCTGCATCAACTTTCCTGAGCCAGGCGCCATTAAAATCCCTGAGCAAGGTTACACCAAAGTTCCTGAGCCAGGCTACACAAAGGTACCAGAGCCTCATCCTTCAACGGTCACTCCAGGCCCAGCTCAGCAGAAGACCAAGCAGAAGTAATGTGGTGCACAGACAAGCCTTTGAGAAGCCGACTACCAGATGCTGGACACCCTCTTCCCATCTGCTTCTGTGTCTTAATTGTCTGTAGACCTTGTAATCAGTACATTGTCACCCCGAGTCATAGTCTCTCTCTTACTTGTACCCTAAAAATATGTACTATGAAGCTTTTGCTTGCACACACTCTGAAGAATCCTGTAAGCCCTTGAATTAAGCAGAAAGTATTAGTGGCTTTTCTGGTCTTCAGCTGCTCAGGGTTCATTTGAAGATTCGAATGAAAAGAAATGCATGTTTCCTGCTCTGCCCTCATTAAATCGCTTTTAATTCCAGTCTTGGCTGTGTGTGTCATTGGCGGAATCTTCCTCCTTCCTTGTTTCCCCATTGTGAGTCAGGACCTGTAGACAGAGAGGAGTTGGTGTAGAAGTCATCTATCTAACCCCGGTACTGTTTGTTTCTATGGGTGTGTGGGGGTACACTTGAGTGACCCTGGAATGGAAATGGGCATTGTGTGATGGTGCACAGAGATTATCACTTTGGGCAGCCACAGGCTCTCCTCTTGCACTGGACTGAGTCATGCCTGACTCCAAGCCACCTGTTCCAAGACACCTTTGATCCTCAGTATCGTGACAACAAATCTCCTGTCTGTTCCAAGAAAACTTTACTCCTACGTATTTTGACTTGATAGTCTATTTTTCTTCATTTGTTTTACCTTCTAGATACCCCACCACACACACACACAGACACACACAGACACACACACACACACACACACACAGTCATTCACAAAGAGGCACATTCATTGTAAATAGCCACACACTCACATAATCACTCACACAAGCTCTACCCCCTCTAGCTCAGACAATGTTATTTTTTCTAAGCAACTCTTATGTGCAGAGATCCCTAAAGACGGACCAGCGAGAGAGAGAGGAGGATACACAGTGCCTCCCTTGTAGAATTTGCAGTCTTGTTTACGAGTTAGGATATTCACACCCTTCTAATACAAATGAGTACACAACTATACATACATACACACACACACACACACACTCCCAGCGGTGTTCCAAAATAACCCTCAGAAATCTATTAAGTGATTTTTAAAAGGAGATCAGTTTAAACAGGGATTACAAGGAGAAGGAGTGCTTGATCCAATTTACGTGAATTATTAGCAACAAATTTGTCAGTTAGAGAGCAGGTCATTAAGCTACAGAATTTCAGGCAGAAGTAAAAAGAGAGTTAAACAGTACGTAATAGAGTCCCTACATTTCAAGATCAAAAACTGATTTCCAGAAAGGCAGAGAAAAGTAATTAAGAACAATCAAAAATTATTTCTGAATCACACTTGGAGTCCAGTTCCCTGGGTTCCCAGCCAGCCCTCTACTCTTTCTCCTGCAGCCTAGTCTTGATTTCAGGAGTGACTGAGAAAGTTTGTGGTCTCTGTTGAGCTGATCTGGAATAGCAGGGAGCTGTTTCCAGAAGCAGTGAAGCCAACATAAAATTTCAGAAGGGTCATTGCAGTCACTGGGGGGTGAACCTTATTTTTCGAGAAGGTGGGTGGGCCATATCAAACAGGTGTGAGGTAGGTGATAGGTAGCACTTGCACAGTATAGCATTGGCAAGAACTCAGAGACATCTGGAAACTGTAGACAGAAATTGTCCAGCAAGGTAATGAGTAGTTGACAAACTGGCAGGAGGGAGTAAAGTCACTCAGGTCTGCTAGATACGTAGGTATTAAGATGGCTTCATATTATTGCTGATTTCAATGATGGAAAAGTCTAGAGACAGCTCTAGGACCAATTACAATTAAATAGGCTGATCCAGAATGGAGAAATGTGTTCTATAGTACGCAGCTATTATGCATATAAAGTAGTTCAAACATTTTAAAAGGGAGTTTGGATGGGAAGAACAAAAAGATTTAAAGATTTCCCTGACCTTTGAGCCATGAATTCTATTTTAGAAATTCATTAAGAATTATTCATGCATGTAGATTTATACATCCAGATATTCAGTTCAGCATTGTATCTAACAGTAAAATGTTGGTAACAACATAAATGCATACTAGTGGATAACGGCATCCAGAATTGATGGAGTGACCATGTATTAAAATTACACAGCATCTATTAAAGGAAATATTATAGAAGAATTATTCATCTTATTGAAAAATGATCAGGTTATATTTTAAAAGTAAGCCCCAAACAACATAAGCAAAAAAGAATCTTATGAATAATATATGCATGAAATTGGATTTATATTAAAAAAATCGTGATACAAAATTCAGCAAAATATAACTGGTTATTTCTTCCAGTTCACATGATAGTGTTCATTTGCTTTTTTGAATGGCTCTATTTTTTCTTATTATATAATATGTAAAGTTATTTCATTTTTTAAATATTTTATCATGATATTAAAAATGCAGAAGTCAGTGAAGATGCTGCTGAGTTAAGGAAAAATATGTGTCCTGCTTATCGAGAACATTCCTCAGGTTCTACACATATCCCAGATGAACAGTACAATGGTGGGGGCCTCCCTTCCATGTTGAAGTAGGGTCCATGGAGATAAATGCTTCAACATGCCTGGTAGAAGACTGATGTCAAGGAACCCTAAACCTCTAGAGTAAATGGAGAGGACAAAACTACTCTCCTATCTTCTCACCCTTCGTCCCTTCACTCGTTCTTGCTTCTCTACAAAGGTTAGTTGGAAACCTTTACCGAAAAGTGCTTTGTAAGCACAGACTCCATCAAATCAACCTTAGCCTCTTAAAAACTGTCTGGTCACATCTGGGTCCATGTGTCATTTTCAACTATGACATTTCAGTCAAAGCCTTGCTTATATAACCAAGATTTTCAGTTATATCCAGTTACAAGAAGGACAAGTTCCTATTGGACATATGCAAATAATTATGTTGTCATGAAAATAAGAATCCTCAATGAGTGCCAAATTCTAGAGGGATTAGGCAAGGAGAAAATGACACATGCTCTATTTTTGTTTATAAAAGTAGAATCTAATTATTGTTGCAAGTTATGGATACTATAAAAGAGAAAGAAGTGTCTTATAATCCATTCAGAAAATAGAACACAAAAGAATCAACAATGTTTCAAGTAACGATCCATATATAGTATAATTGTGCTTCATCAATTCGTCTGGTACCTGAAACTAATTTTTGTTCTGCCTGATCTTGGGTTAGCAGTTTTATCAACCCATCAGCTTCTCCAATAGCGTTCTGGAAATCCTCACTCAGTCTAGTGGGATGGTCTTAAAGTCATTTAAGCAACGCCATCAGAAGCCTGTGCCCTAGCATATCTGTTACAGTTTTTTTTCCATGTGTCTCTGAGACTTTTCCTTTTTATTTAAGATTAAGCACTTTGGCTTGTAGCTTATTAAAAACGTTTTCATACAGGAACCAGAGTAAAACAAAAACTATCTGTGTATGACAAGACTTAAAATGGCTATGGTTAAAGATATGATCATGTGTTTGGAATTTATTCCTTCCGGTGGGTTCTTGGTCTCGCTGACTTCAAGAATGAAGCCACGGATGCTTCCGGTGAGTGTTACAGCTCTTAAAGATGGTGTGTCCAGAATTTGTTCCTTCAGATGTTCAGATGTGTCCAGAGTTTCTTACTTCCAGTGGGTTCGTGGTCTCACTGACTTCAGGAGTGAAGCTGCAGGCCTTCGCAGTGAGTGTTATAGCTCTTAAAGGTGGTGTGTTCAGAGCTGTTTGTTCCTCCCGGTGGGTTCATGGTCTCCCTGACTTCAGGAAGGAAGCTGCAGACCCTCAGAGTGAGTGTTACAGCTCATAGAGGTAGTGCAGACCCAAAGAGTGAGCAGCAGCAAGATTTATTGTGAAGAGTGAAAAAACAAAGCTTCCACAGCATGGAAGCACACCCAATCTGGTTGCCACTGCTGGCTCCAGTGGCCAGCTTTTACTCCCTTATTTTTCCTTGCCCAAGTCCTGCTTATTGGTCCATTTTATAGAGCGTGGATTGGTCCATTTTACAGAGTGCTGATTGGTCCATCTTTACAGAGTACTGATTGGTGCGTTTACAAACCTTTAGCTAGACACAGGGTACTGACTGGTGTGTTTTTACCGAGTGCTGATTGGTGCATTTACAAACCTTTAGCTAGACACAGAGGGTGGATTGGTGCGTTTTTACAGAGTGCTGATTGGTGCATTTACAATCCTCTAGCTAGACAGAAAGGTTCTCCAAGTCCCCACTCCATCCAGGAAGTCCAGTTGGCTTCACTTGTCAATAGGAGTTTATTATTAAGTAATTGACAAGGAAATTTGGTTGTCTCTGTAATAGATATTTAAAACAACAACCAGATTTGTAACTAAAATTATCCCAACACATACCCTGAGCAGTGGAGATATCGACAAATTCCTATGAATGTCATACAATTTCTGAAATAGTCATATTAAAAATATTTACCCATGCAAATATCATTTAGAGAAAGTTAAGCATCTCTTCTCATTTGACAACACATTTAATGCAATTGAACTATGAAAAACCATTATTTTGTTTAAAATGTCTCTTTTTACAAGGTGAAAGAAAAAAATCTTTCACAATTTTCCAGGGGCCCTCTGGGAACTATCAAGGTCAATTTGAGATCAAGATTTCATTTCACATTTTATTTTGGGAAGGCAAAACTGCCAAAAATGTTAAAAGGGTAGAACACTTAACTAAATAAGATTACTGATCACTATGAGACCATACTTGCCTACCTAGTTAACCAAAGTGACTATAAAAAACTGCAAAGTAACTATAGGAAGGAATCTTATTGTAAAATACCTTAGTTTTTTTTTTTCAAAGAGAGAAGACTTGGTTGTTTAAAATAGTCAGAACACGACAAAGGTCAACATAAAGCATAGCACGTCATTCTGATAAGGCACAGAACTTTTGTTTCCCAGGCAGTTACATACAAGGTAAATTACACAAACCATTTTATAATCTCTCATTTTTTTCTTTTTTCCCTCTGCATTCCTCTAGTCAATCTTGGCTGCCACAATC